ATGCTGGAAAAAATACAGGAAAAAGATCCCAAATATACACCTAATCTTGATGGGAACCAAAACCTTCATACTATTAGTTACTTTTATTGTAAAGTTTAAGATACTGTATTTGAATAAAATCAGTGAAAATTTGAACAAAATCGGGCAAGGAATAAGGAAGTTAAAGCATTTTGAAATGACTAAAGCATGACTAATGCATAAAGAAAATATGAAAATAATATTTTGCCTTGATTAAGAAAAATTGAAAATTGTATCAGTATTAAACAGGGAGAAGGAAAGGGGAGGAAATTAATCAAAACAAACATTGAAGAATCCAATTCAGTGTTCTTTCGTGATGCATAAGAATGAAAGTACATACAAAGGTGAAATAATAAATTGAAGAGCGATGATAAATCAATTCTTTGACGTTGATTGATTGAATAAAAATAATGAAACAATATGGTCTGAAGGTCATACATGTATATCTTCGAATATTAGAAAGTTTCATCCACCATCGTGTTGTTGAACACTATTTGCAATTTAACTTTAATGCGGTGTCTTGTTGGTTACGAGCAGAAGGTCATTTTAGGCTTCTATATTCTATAATACTATCAACAGATATCTGGATATAGACACTTCAAGTTACGAGCCAGAAAGTATATCATCATCTCACAGAATTCTACTCGAACACCGCATCCAAATTCTTTTCACCCTTTTTTCTTCTTCCTCTTTTTTTGGTCCCTTTAGCTCTTGTTGGCGGGAAAATTGCAACTGATATCCCCCTTCTTTTCTTTACTTCTTTCTTAATTTTCGTTCCCTCTATCTCCTGTTCAGTGACTGGTCCCTCAGAAACTAGTGCTCAGCCAGTCACAGAGAATTCATGATTTCAACTGATGCCTGTTAGTGCATTGTACATTTGATTTTTCTTCACATTTCATTTAAAAATCTTTTCATATTTGATAAATATGGTGCGTTGGCATATGGGCTATGGTTGGAGCGTTTGATGCGTTGAACAGCGTTGGTGTATTATGTGGATTTATCATATTCATATTCTGAATATTTTCAGCAAATTGAATAATATTGAAAAGGATGCAATTCATGGTTGTACTCGATAATTCTCACTTAACATATTCTCTCTCTCCCTGTCTTGCGTAAAGAAAATATGAAAATCATATTTTGCCTTGATTAAGAAAAATTGAAAATTGTATCAGTGTTAAATAGGGAGAAGGAAAGGGGAGGAAATTAATCAAAACAAACATTGAAGAATCCAATTCAGTGTTCTTTCGTGATGCATAAGAATGAAAGTACATACAAAGGTGAAATAATAAATTGAAGAGCGATGATAAATCCATTCTTTGACGTTGATTGATTGAATAAAAAATAATGACACAATATGGTCTGAAGGTCATATATCTTCGAATATTAGAAAGTTTCATCCACCATCATGTTGTTGAACACTATTTGAAATTTAATTTTAATGCGGTGACTTGTCGGTTACGAGCAGAAGGTCATTTCAGGCTTCTATATTCTATAATACTATCAACAGATATCTGGATATAGACACTTCAAGCCACGACTCAGAAAGTATATCATTATCTCACAGAATTCTACTCGAACACCGCATCAAAATTCTTTTCACCCTTTTTTTCTTCTTCCTCTTTTTTTGGTCTCTTTTAGCTCTTGTTGGCGGGAAAATTGCAACTGATTTCCCCCTTCTTTTCTTTAATTTCTTCCTTAATTTTTCTTCCCTCTATCTCCTCTTCAGTGACTGGTCCCTCAGAAACTAGTGCTAAGCCAGTCACAGAGAATTCATGATTTCAACTGATGCCTGTTAGTGTATTGTACATTTGATTTTTCTTCACATTTCATTTAAAAATCTTTTCATATTTGATAAAATTTAATATAGTGCACTGGCATATGGGCTATGGTTGGAGCGTTGAATGCGTTGAACAGCGTTGGTGTATTATGTGGATTTATCATATTCATATTCTGAATATTTTCAGTGAATTGAATAATATTGAAAAGGATGCAATTCATGGTTGTACTCGATAATTCTCACTTAACATATTCTCTCTTTCTCTCTCGCTCTCTCTCCCTGTCTTGCATAAAGAAAATATGAAAATAATATTTTGCCTTGATTAAGAAAAATTGAAAATTGTATCAGTGTTAAATAGGGAGAAGGAAAGGGGAGGAAATTAATCAAAACAAACATTGAAGAATCCAATTCAGTGTTCTTTCGTGATGCATAAGAATGAAAGTACATACAAAGGTGAAATAATAAATTGAAGAGCGATGATAAATCAATTCTTTGACCTTGATTGTTTGAATAAAAAATAATGAAACAATATGGTCTGAAGGTCATATATCTTCGAATATTAGAAAGTTTCATCCACCATCATGTTGTTGAACACTATTTGAAATTTAATTTTAATGCGGTGACTTGTCGGTTACGAGCAGAAGGTCATTTCAGGCTTCTATATTCTATAATACTATCAACAGATATCTGGATATAGACACTTCAAGCCACGACTCAGAAAGTATATCATTATCTCACAGAATTCTACTCGAACACCGCATCAAAATTCTTTTCACCCTTTTTTTCTTCTTCCTCTTTTTTTGGTCTCTTTTAGCTCTTGTTGGCGGGAAAATTGCAACTGATTTCCCCCTTCTTTTCTTTAATTTCTTCCTTAATTTTTCTTCCCTCTATCTCCTCTTCAGTGACTGGTCCCTCAGAAACTAGTGCTAAGCCAGTCACAGAGAATTCATGATTTCAACTGATGCCTGTTAGTGTATTGTACATTTGATTTTTCTTCACATTTCATTTAAAAATCTTTTCATATTTGATAAAATTTAATATAGTGCACTGGCATATGGGCTATGGTTGGAGCGTTGAATGCGTTGAACAGCGTTGGTGTATTATGTGGATTTATCATATTCATATTCTGAATATTTTCAGTGAATTGAATAATATTGAAAAGGATGCAATTCATGGTTGTACTCGATAATTCTCACTTAACATATTCTCTCTTTCTCTCTCGCTCTCTCTCCCTGTCTTGCATAAAGAAAATATGAAAATAATATTTTGCCTTGATTAAGAAAAATTGAAAATTGTATCAGTGTTAAATAGGGAGAAGGAAAGGGGAGGAAATTAATCAAAACAAACATTGAAGAATCCAATTCAGTGTTCTTTCGTGATGCATAAGAATGAAAGTACATACAAAGGTGAAATAATAAATTGAAGAGCGATGATAAATCAATTCTTTGACCTTGATTGTTTGAATAAAAAATAATGAAACAATATGGTCTGAAGGTCATACATGTATATCTTCGAATATTAGAAAGTTTCATCCACCATCGTGTTGTTGAACACTATTTGCAATTTAACTTTAATGCGGTGTCTTGTCGGTTACGAGCAGAAGGTCATTTCAGGCTTCTATATTCTATAATACTATCAACAGATATAGACACTTCAAGCTACAACTCAGAAAGTATATCATCATCTCACAGAATTCTACTCGAACACCGCATCGAAATGCTTTTCACCCTTTTTTTCTTCTTCCCCTTTTTTTGGTCCCTTTTAGCTCTTGTTGGCAGGAAAATTGCAACTGATATCCCCCTTCTTTTCTTTACTTCTTCCTTAATTAATTTTACTTCCCTCTATCTCCTCTTCAGTGACTGGTCCCTCAGAAACTAGTGCTAAGCCAGTCACAGAGAATTCATGATTTCAACTGATGCCTGTAAGTGTATTGTACATTTGATTTTTCTTCACATTTCATTTAAAAATCTTTTCATATTTGATAAATATAGTGCATTGGCATATGGGCTATGGTTGGAGCGTTGGATGCGTTGAACAGCGTTGGTGTATTATGTGGATTTATCATATTCATATTCTGAATATTTTCAGCAAATTGAATAATATTGAAAAGGATGCAATTCATGGTTGTACTGGATAATTCTCACTTAACATATTCTCTCTTTCTCTCTCGCTCTCTCTCCCTGTCTTGCATAAAGAAAATATGAAAATAATATTTTTCCTTGATTAAGAAAAATTGAAAATTGTATCAGTGTTAAATAGGGAGAAAGAAAGGGGAGGAAATTAATCAAAACAAACATTGAAGAATCCAATTCAGTGTTCTTTCGTGATGCATAAGAATGAAATTACATACAAAGGTGAAATAATAAATTGAAGAGCGATGATAAATCAATTCTTTGACGTTGATTGATTGAATAAAAAATAATGACACAATATGGTCTGAAGGTCATATATCTTCGAATATTAGAAAGTTTCATCCACCATCGTGTTGTTGAACACTATTTGCAATTTAATTTTAATGCGGTGACTTGTCGGTTACCAGCAGAAGGTCATGCAAGCACATACCTCATAATCCGCCCTTCTATTGTTCGAGTTTATAACCATGACAACGAACTCTACCTTTGGCTAAACGAGACAAATGAAGCTACAACAAAGCGAAACATATTAAAGGAAGAAAAAGCATTAATGTATGACTTGTATAAATGTGTGATAAATAATTTTTCTTAATAAGTTATCCCTTTGAGGAAGGGAATCTGAATTATGACCCAAAATAGCAGGGGATGCGGAGCGTTTTTTAGAGTAGGGGGAGGGGGGGGGGGGGGGGAGGTCTGAGCATGCGAACAATCTATAAACCCCTTTTTCGGAGCTTCTACTAAAAAAAAAGCCCCAGCCACCCGCTTCCGCAGCCCCTGCATAGTTTGAGAGTTACATATTGGCATATAGAGGGCAGTCAACTGGTATCGCTTGAAAGCATTATGAGTAGGTCACGCTCCGTTGTGGAATCGTTGGACCGTATGCTTCTTTATGAGGGATTTTCGCATGCGCTTTTTTAATAGAGGGGTTCGGACGATTGTGGCTTTCTCGCAAACTAGGCCGCGTTGCATAAAGCCACGTGATTACTGCCACTCGAATTGATCCAAGGCGCCTTAATCATTATCTATTAAGTCTCCCGCTTGAAAAGAAAGCCCGAGAGCAACCATATACTCACATGTTCTGCGGATGCTTTTGATTTGCTCCTGCTGCTTGAGTCACCCATGACCGTTGCCTCTCCCGTCTTGGCCGAGCAGTACATGTTCCTGCCCAGCTTGATGACCCGGTCACCTTCCATCTCAAATGACCCCTCCTTGAAGGACGCAACGTACCTCCCTTGGAATGAAAACTCTTCCGTCTCGACCTGCTTCCCATCACGGTTGAAATATCTATCAAAGGAGACAAGAAAGTGAACATTTCCAAGTGAATTTACCAAAAATCCCTCTTTCCATATTAAGGGAAATATTACCTGTCTTAAAGGCCACCTTCAAAAGATCCCCCACTGAAACCTTGCCTTTTCCCCCAGTCATCTATGTGATGTACTTCCTGTGAGACTGTACATTTCTTGTCCTCTTTTCATATATTTGTATTTTGTAAGTGCTATGGTACTTATTGTTTTTAGTGCTAGTAAATATTTGATATTAGTATCGATCCTAAGCAATAATGTAGATTGGAAAGGTGTCATGAGTTTGTCATGAAATGACATTAATTTGAATCCAAGGAAATAATGTCATTCCATGACATTGAGTGAGTTCAAGTGGTTCCATATATCTTATTTTTTTGGTAGTATTTATAGCAATCAATGCATAATACATATAATAATATTTAACACTGTTTAGAATCTGATAAAGCACTACTTTTGAACTAATCTAGGCACTTTATACATTATCCTGGACATTAATTGGATCGAAATGTATGTGAGAATATAATACGCACACTTTGAAGATGATTATCAATTCAATCAAATCAAATGTCACTTCTAATCACTAATCTGTGTGTTTGAGATACACAAAATGTGAAATGCGATACATTTAAAATTGCTTACCGTAATTAACGGTGTATTAACCGCACCTTTTTGCCACCAAAAAAAATTTAAAGTCGGGGTGCGGCTTATACACAGTACACCATTTTTTTTAATTTTTAATTTTTTTTTTTTAAAGTTTCGATTTATGCCCTTCCACCTGGCGCTATGCCTGGCAATGTCTCCCAGCTCGGTAATCGGTGTGTTGACTCACCACTCGGAAACTAGAACAACACCCAAATTTGTCTGTCATCTTGGTTTGAAAGTAATCTTTCTGATAGATCTCAATATGTAGTTTGTAATAATAATTCCTCCAATTTTTCTTCTATTATATGGTGTACCACAAGGTTCTATCCTAGGTCCTCTACTGTTTTTTAATTTACACTAATGATCTTCTTTTTTTTTTAAGGGCGAAAAAGAGGGGTGCAGTTAATACACGAGGGCGGTTTATACAACGTTAATTACGGTAGGTTTAATACAGAGGCATATACATGTACATGAACAACCCTTATTTAGAAAGATCTGAGAATTCAACAATCTAGGTCCCGTTTTATATAAAACTTGTTATCATAACAAACGCTAAATTTCTACGACAAATTTGTTTTCAACCAATCAAATGCCACAATTTCAGTTGTACCCTGTTATTGATTTAAAACAAGTCTTATCAAATAGTGCTCTCGATTGTTTAAAGATTCATACAAACCTGATGGTTCCTGGAATCTCGGTGCCATAGGGAACAGTGCCGCCCAGAGAATGAACAAACCTGCCATTCGAACTCTGCACTTTCTCTTTCAAGAATATTGACACCTAAAAAAGAAAAGAAATAATTATAGTTTGATCTTGTAAGCCAGCTTCATCATATAACACATTGTTCATGGATGTTCCGCACATAACTATTAGAGTACAGTGTATGTGTGTGATTAAGCCATTAGAACTATGCTCTTTTTCTTTCAAAAATATTGACATCTGAAGAAGAAAAAAAAGAAGAAGTTTAATCTTCTAAGAAAGCTTCAAAATATAACACATGTATATACATTATACATCGATGCTCTACACATAACTAGTACAGTAGAGTGTACCGGTACATGTACACATGTATGTGTGTGATTTACCGTATACATTTTGAATGATGCATGATACTGCATATTTGCCAAAATGTCAAAGTATCGTCATGAAAAATAGATCCATGCTGCATTATAATTGAAAGAGCACACTAGCTTGCTGATAGTACTCAGGGTATTCATTAATTATACACTACATGTACCGAGTGTGCAGGTATACAGGTGTATAATAAACTGACTTGCACATAACTGTACACCATCACCCCCCACCCCCCCCCCCCCGAGCGAATTTTCAGCCGGCACGATTTTCAAATTTTTGGGAGCAAAACAAATAATAATAATTAGTGCCTCACTATCCCCCCCCCCCCCCCCCCCCCCCCCCACTGAGTAAAATATTGGCCAGCATGATTTTCATATTTCAGCATACTAAATTTCAAATTGATTTCAAATTTGGGCCTCCAACCCTAAGAAATCCTGGATCCAAGCCTGCCTACATGTACTGTACAGTTGTAGATAAAGCTACATGTACAGTACATATCCCATCCACAGCTCAGAGTTGAACTAATTTAATGTACCAATATCAACAAGGACACTTGTGTGCATTGCCAATACAGGTCTCCTCTAGCTGCACACACAAATCTACCCATCCACAACCATTGGCGAAGAATGGAGACTCCTTGATACAATTAAACCTCAAATTGACCCTTAATTAGAATCGACCTTTCATTAGCTGATGTCTACCAATTCATGATTGTTTACCCTAGAAGTTAATTATGATTGACACTCTGAATAGCCACTGGAGGCCTATAATGAATGCATGAGCGGTAGAGTAATTACATGTAACTGTATTAGACAGGAACTGCCTACAATTAACAGACAATGGTGTTGATGTTCGCTTAATAAATCTTTAAGAAAAAGACGAAAACATTATCCCCAGAGCTACATGTTCATTTAAATTCCCACTAGCAATTCAATTTTGTTGCCGGTAAGCTTCACTAATGTTTCAGTTTTACTGAATCTTTTTTATACTTTATTTATATTGATTCACATGTATTTTCTTCTTAATTCTATACCATTCTCTATATTTTTCACTCCTCTTTGTCTAAACATTATTTTCTAGAAATTTCTACTTACCGGTATCCTTTTTTTCTCTCTCTACAGTATGTTTATTTTCTAGTACTACTTTCATGCTCCACATCATACAATGTTGTAAAATCATTATTAAAGAGACAACTTCATGTACATGAACATTGTACATTGTACATAAAATATCAAATAATCAAAAATATTAGATGTGAAATTGATGTGATCATAAATTACTGAAGAGCATTTTAACATCAGCAGTCGGCACAATGAAATACATTTATCAAAGTGATCATGACATGTATTCCAGCACTACATGGACACCCATAATTAATATCTCTACCGTAATCATTGATGCATTACAATCCACTCAGAACTATTCAGACTTCAGCCCTAAGCATTTATTAATTAGAGAAATGTCAAGACCATCCATTCATCATCCGAGGCTCTACAAAAAACAGGCTCATCTCATCTGCCTGGGTACTTAAATAGCTTTCGTTACCATGGCAACAACCTACAAAATCGATATGGTGTGCAGTGAAGGGAAAACAATTCATTTTGTTGTATTCTGTTTTTGCAGGTTTCCAGACCCTACAGTGTAACTGAAATAATTACTGTAATGAATTTCACCTCCTGAAAAAACCTGAATTCAGGCATACATGGACTTGCCCTTTTGTATTTTTACCATTTATGAAAATTTGATGACTTTTATAATTTTTAAGCATCTGAAACAGAGCACAGATGCAATATGAGTTTTTGTGGATAAACATGTACTGTACATATAGTGTACATACAGTATACAGCCAGAACTATCTATTGAACTAAATGAACAATTTTAGGTCTGATCACAAATGATAGCACTCTTTGAAAAGCAATTGACATTTCCAATCATGGAATGAAACACATTTTACAATGCATTATATTTTTCAATCAAAATCAAATCTCAAGAAATAACAATGTTCACCAACAACAAAATATAACTTTAAATACCAAACAGAACATTGTTAAATGTTCAAATTCTTTATATTTCTTCCAAAATGTATATCAAATACACATTGACATCAATTATTATGTACTATGCATGTAAGGCAATTGTATGAAAATGAAGTGATCATATACTACATGTAGTACAAATTGCTTTTTTTAAAATAGAATTTCACAGTTCATGATTGTACTATGTGAATGATTTTTGATATTTTTTTAATCTTGATTTTCTGCATTTCTGAATGTTTCTTACCATCTCCCCTCATCTGTATTGATAAGGACCCCCTTCTCTCTCTCTCTCTCTCTCTCTCTCTCAATCTCTCTCTATCTCTGTCTCTCTTTCGCCCCCTTCTCTCTCTCTCCTTCTCTCTCTCTCTCTCTCTCTCTCTTTCTCTCTCTTTCTCATCACTCCAACTCTCCCTCTCCTACACCTCTCCATTTCTCTTTCTCTTTAAACAAAAATTTGAATTTGATCAATGAATTTTTATGGAATGTACATGTTTGGTTTTTGACTTATGTCATATTTTGTGTTATTTGAATTTGAATTGCAATTGTATTGTATCTTCGTGAAATGAATCGCAATTCAGACATTGGCTGCATGATCTTTTAATAAACCATTACTATTCTATTCTATACATGGAAAACAAGTAATTCATATAATTTTCTAAATTACCGCACTACAGTTGACCAACAAATAATCTGATTAAAACCAGAAAAATGTTACCTTTATGTATAAAAACTGATATGAGTTACCTGAACATTAAAATGTAAATGTATGTACTGTTTAGTGGAACATAATGTAACAGCTTTAATGTTCAGCTTACCCTAATATGCATGTCTTGAAAGAAGCCTAGAAGCGTCTGTCGTATTAGCTGGAACTCTCCCAATGTTACAAAAGTAAACGTCTGATGAAGTCAAAGACAGGAAGAAAAACAAAATTCACAATTATATTTTAACAGATAAAACAATTTGATACAATTTGATAGACTATCAAACATACTGGTACACGTAAAATCCTTAATATTATCAGCAACATATCTACAGGTACATTGTAGAGTGATGAAAGTCTTTAGAAATGATTTGAGTGCCAAACAATTAAGGCACCTGTATGGACATCAAATCTTGATAAAATCATAATTTAGAGAACTAATAAGGCATTTTGTATCTTATTCCAGGGACTCTACAAGTAAGCATTACACTAATTAGAAACCAAGCTAAAAATGGATCAAACATCTGTAAAAAAGGAAAGAAAGATGTTACATTGACTAAACTGTTTGATCAACTCATTCAACTGCCATAATAAAACTGTTTCATTTGTAATTAAGGAGTGATTAATAATAACACATTAGAAAAGCTGTTTTCAAAAATGTCCCCATTTAAGCTACGACTCAAGAATCTTTGAACAAGTAGTTGATGATAATGATGATGATGATGATGATGATGATGATGAATTGATGATGATGATGATGACGATGATGATGATGATGATGGTGATGATGATGAAAATGAAGATGTTGATAATGATAATAATAATGATAATAATGATTGATAACGATGATGATGATGAATGAAGACAAAGATGAAGATGATGATGATGATGGTGGTGGTGGCGATGATGATAAATGTTTAATGAAGATGATGACAATGGCAATAATCATGATGATTTATACATGTAGCAATAATATAATGGTGCCACATTTCTGTTAGACATTCAAATTGCATTCTCCTTCTATTTTAACTAATAAGATTACGCATCTGCTTGAATTGACACAATCTTGTGTGCATGGCCTGTATATTTTGAATGATTATGAATCCAAAATAATATGCGTAATCTTATTAGTAAAATTAGAAGGAGAATGCAATTTGAATGTCTATAACAGAAATGTGGCACCATCATTAACGTAAAGTAGAAACAAGAGCGGTCAAAAGAGGGATCCTTGCGGGACACTACATACCTTCAAGAGCAGACGACAAACGCCCTCTACGCCAGCCTTGAGGGTAGGATTATCACAGACGAAGCTACGGATAGCGTCCATGTGGTTGAGAGTGACAAGTAGGATATCCTTAGGTCTCAGACAAAGTGAGATCTGGTACTTGACAGCCATGGTCATCAGGTCATACAACTAGAAACAAAAATTGTATATAAAATGTGGTTTACAGTGATTTTTAAGGCTTACATGTATATATCATAAATACCGGTAATGCTTAAATGCTTTTAAAACGTGTACATGCAATGTACATGTTTAATATGCAAAGTACATTAAAAATTGAGTTTAAAAATATTTATCCTACCTTGTCCATACTAGCGGTGTTTAGTCTCATGATAGAGGCATGGGCCAGACGATCAAACACTGTCCTCATCGCTTTCTTAGAGTAGATATCCTGAGGTTTGAAGAGCTCCCCCACAAAGCGTTGGTTGAACATTGTCTTCACAATGTCATGCATCACTGAAAATATATGAGGACAAATAATAAAACATCAAACTGTTACTTTCTTAATGCAACTGATATTGTGTACATGAATTTCAATTTACTTTCTATTACTTTCTTAATACACCTGATAAATAGGTTGGAAGAGCTCCCCCACAAAGCGTTGGTTGAAAATTGTCTTCACAATGTCATGCATTACTAAAAATATATGAGGACAAATAATAAAACATCAAACTTTTACTTTCTTAATGCACCTGATAACTAGGTTGGAAGAGCTCCCCCACATAGCGTTGATTGAACAATATGTCTTTACAATGTCATGCATCACTAAAAATATATGAGGACAAATAATAAAACATCAAACTATTACTTTCTTAATACACCTGATAAATAGGTTGGAAGAGCTCCCCCACAAAGCGTTGATTGAACAATATGTCTTTACAATGTCATGCATCACTAAAAATATATGAGGACAAATAATAAAACATCAAACTTTTACTTTCTTAATGCACCTGATAACTACATGTAGTGCGTACATGAATTTCGATTTATGCATGTACCATTTGAGGTACATGTAGAGTCCATAATTTATGCATGTTTCTCTCCAGGAAACCATGGATACTACTACTATGCAGTTGTGCACATACAGTACATGTACACGTACATTATATGGTTTCCATGATCTTGGATTGGCAAGATGTACATGACGTGTATTGATTCACATCCTAATATATCACATTACCAATTGTATTTAAATCTTAAAAGGGCAATCCAACTTTGGAGGGAGTTCAAATGTATGAAAGTAGAAAAACCAGAGAAACAAAATTTGACCAATAATAAGGGAGTTATGAATATTTGAAATATCAGATTACTAAATCTATGCAAATCTTAAAGTGACTTGGTAACATTGTTGAAGGTTGATGAAAAAAATTGCTTAATTTTTGTATAAAATGTTACTTACATGTACTATTTTCCTTCTACTGTACTAACCCTCTGACATGCAAAAAATCCTGAAAAAATTCTCACACCACGAAGATATCTATGGTTTTCTTTGAAGGCGTCGTTGTACGACACCCTCATACATTGATTAACAGTTAATTCTCCCAACCATTTTTGAATTTTCCCAACCGTTTTTCCATGACAAAAGACATAAAACAGGCTATAAAAAAATCTGTCAACACTTAAATGTCTGGAATGGAATGTAGAGCCATTTAATTGCTTTGTGAGATTTCCATTCACCTAAAATGTAATTAAACTGTAATAATATAGTTGGGAGAATTAAGGAACCAATCAGATCAGTTTTTCCCAATTTGTACCATGAATAAAGATCCGTTTTCACTGAAATTTTCAGATTATCTTTAATTGTACATCTAGCTTTGAAGTCACTACCTTAGCACCACTATCTCTTATCTGATGTAAACAATGTTACCAAGTCCCTTTAAGTGGCCATTTGGTCATTAGATTGTGACATACATGTAGTCATAGACAACTCTACGCTTTGTTGTGTTAAAGAATATCATTTATTGTGATTTTCTCCTACATTTTTGTACATACTGTACATGTACATAGCGCCTTCTTCCATTGCCCCGGGGCACTTCTCAAAATGTATTATGGATAGCATATTATAATAAATAAAAGTCATATATTTTGAAAGAATGACATTTTAGTCCTCCTTTGTTTTGAAACAAATGGGGAAGTTGTCCAGCACTATGTCACTGTAACATCTATTCATCCTATTTGAAGTGCACAAGCTGTACGTGTACATGTACATGTACAATGTAGTGACATTATAGTGTTAACAACTTTTCAAAATTCACAACTTTCTTTTTTTGTGTTCAATTTCAATCAACTGACATACAAGGAGAAATAGAAATAAAAAATGATAAAATGATATCTTAAGAAAAAGAATAACATAAAGAATAACATAATGAAAAGAAGAGAAGATGAAAGAAAAAAAAACAAAGAACAGCATAGGGAAAGATACAATGTAGTTCAGGCCTTCAGGGTAATAATTAAGCCAGTTTACGGTTGCAGTCTGAGCATGAGCAGATAAAGGTCATTTGTACCAAAAAGGTAAAACCCACAGAGAATCAGAGATGAATACTGGATATGCGCTCATGAAAGTTATGTACATGTAACATCATTCATTTATGTACCAACGGTACATACTAAGATATGCAGGTGGAAGTATTCTTTTCAAGAGGGCAAATCATGATGATTGCGCATGCGTCGGCGTAGGACATGATATTTTTTGCTCTTCCAAATCTGAGATTTAAACTTGAAAATTTGTTAAAATTTGGCCTTATTGGATTCATACTTTTGAGTCTACATTTGTCAAATTGTTTTATGTTAATACTATGTGGGAAAACAGTACTTGAAATCTCCTACTTTGTGAAAAAAAATCTGCACAAAATTGGTACAGCATTGCCTTATTGGCTGTGTCCCCACCTACTACAGTTGAGTGAGGTCAAGGTCAAGAACAGGTTACCAGCGGACCTGCATATTTGGTGCTGCTCTATCTAACTGGTGCTGCTCTAACTTTAACTAGCTAGCTAGGCCAGGTTTGCAGTCACAGTCCTGGATTAATAAAAAAATAGATTGAAAAAATTTAAACAAACTTATGAGAAGATGGAAAGAAATTTAGAGAGTACTGCTGAGTCCGATGAACTAGTAAAGCCAAAGGATAAAGCGAACGAGCCTGGATTCAAAGATGGCAGCGACCAGAAATCCTCAGGGATAGGGGCTGACATCGCGAGTGACAAGGGTGAAAAAGTTAGACGTTCTTCTAACTCGAGAAGCAACAAGGCAAAAAGGAAAGTCTCTTTTGAAATCCAGAAAGCTGAGAAAGGAAGATCAGATACAAAAAAATCTTCTGTGGCTTATCAAAAGGATAAAAAAATCAAACAAGGTGACAAGATTGAGTCGGCTGAAACCAAAGTCATCGACGAAGGTCAGTACGGTCAATTTGTGTGTACCCACTGTAACAGAACTGTATCAAAAATGATAGAATGTGAATTATGCGAATGCTGGGCATGCCTACAATGCCAGAATGTTGACGAAGAAGTGTATAACATATTTACATATGAGGCAAAGTTCACAGGCCTTCACTGGTTCTGTAACAATTGTGACATGACTATTGTTGAAACCATGTCAAATATGAAAAATGGAGCTGTTCCAACTGCTTCAAAGGGACAGACTGTCAGTCAACAAGATGTCGAACACACTCCAGTGCAAGATTTCTCTACAATGGAGAAGTTGGCCGAAAGGATGGAAAAGAAAATGAACGAAAGAATGGATCATATTCTGAATGAGGCCCAAAGTATGCTGACAAGAATGATGGAAGTCACAGAGGAGAGGATGGAGAAATCCTATGCTGAAGTAGTCTGTGCTGCCTCTGCAGGAGATCTGGGAACTAATACCACAAAGCAGAGCAGCGTACCAATACGTTGTACAGATTCCTTCAACCATCAAAGCTCAGCGTCAATGAGGAAAGAGAGAGTCACACCCTCTTGTAGTGTGGCAGAAGTTGTTACATTGACTGTGGATGAGTTAAAAGATAGAGATAATAGAAGGAATAATATTGTTGTGTACAACATGCCAGAACCAAATGAGACCATGAGATCCAAAAGACAATCCAAGGACAATGATCAGGTAAAAGACATGCTGTGCAATGGCCTGTGTGTAGACATCCAGGAGGGTGAAATTGAACAAACCACTCGTCTAGGGATTCGTGGCAAGGGACCAGATGCAAAGCCTAGAGTTCTTTTGGTTCACTTCAACGACCCCAGTCTTCGGGATGAAGTCATTCAGGCATGCAGCAAGCTGCGCAAGACAGAAAAATGGAGAACAGTGTATATTGCACCTGATCTTTCTAAAGATCAGAGACAAGAGAGGTGGAATTTAAGAGAAGAATTAAAGAGGCGTAAGGAAGAGGGAGAAGAGAACCTGATAATACGAAATGGGAAAATCATCCCAGTTAAGCCGAGACCCAAATCCGGTAATAGAGGAAGCACACAGTCTCAGGATCCACGTTCAACTAAACAAATGATGCATGCAGCTAATCAAAAAGAGAGTACTGATCATTTGGTCTCACAGGGTGCAAGACGTAAAGGGTTACCTGAGTCGGCAGCTGTTGAGAAAACACATATTGGATCGGCAGCATCAACCGAACATTGTGTTAATAAAGTGGACATGGAGTCGGCTACCGAGCATGACGTCTTCCAGGAAGATGATAACTCTAGAAGCCAAAACACTGATATCTGACAGCAAGTGAAAGTATTGTACAGCAATGTTGACTCTCTATTGAATAAGAGAGATGAACTACTAACTCGCATTATTGTTGACAATATAGATGTGATCTGCTTGACAGAAATTTACCCGAAACATGTATCGATTAGCATTGAAGACTTTGAGTTCCAGATTCCTAGTTTTAGTATGTTTCTTCCTGAAAGAAGGAAAAGAGGAGTCATCATTTACACAAAATTAAGCCTTCAAGCTAAACAATATTTTTTTGAGGACCAGGAGTTTGATGAAAGTGTATGGTGCTCGTTTCAAACTACATCATCCAGCTTACTAATGGGATGTGTATACCGTAGCCCGAACAGTACTGTAGAGAACAATGATAAGCTGTTGGATCTTTTGAAAGCTGCAGATAACGCTATGCACTCACATTATGTAATCATAGGAGATTTTAATCTACCGGAAATTGACTGGTCCAGAAATGTGTCGAACTCTACTGAATTCAGCTTCTCACAAAGATTCTTAGTAATCACAGAAGATACATACATGCATCAGTTAGTGACAGAACCAACAAGGTTACGTGAAGGCCAAAGATCAAACGTATTAGATCTGATCTTAACAGATCAACCAGATTTCATCGATGACCTTGAACTTAAACCACCATTTGGAAAAAGTGACCATTTATCAATACAGTTTAATATGAGTCTGCTATATGAAGAGAAGTCTTTCACTCCTGCTTATGCATTCTTTAAAGGGAAATATGAGCAGCTAAGGGAGTACGTGGAGGAACATCATTGTTTTGAATGGACAGAGGAATACGTAAATCTGGAGGAGAAATATGCTTGCTTTGAGAAAACAATTATTGAGCTTACTAAGAAATTTGTACCGTTGAGACTTCCCGGATTGAAAGCCAGACCACAGTGGATGAATAGTGAGGTTAAGAAGGCGGTAAGGAGGAAACATTCAGCTTGGAATAAGCATCTGAGAGCTAGACGGAAGATACCTATTAATCCTGTCACTGTCAACCAAACAAGGGAGGAGTATAATGCTGTCAGAAACCTAGCAACCAGTGCCACCAGATCTGCTAAGGGAGGATTTGAACTCAAGATTTCGAAGGATGTAAAGAAGAATCCAAAGAGCGTCTGGAAGTACATTCAAAGCAAGTTGAAAGTCAAAAGTGCAATAGAGAACTTATGTAAGCCTGATGGTTCCATTGCAGAATCTGATAATGAGAAAGCTGAGTTACTCAACAATTACTTCTGCTCAGTTTTTACGAAGGAAAACCTCAACAACATTCCTGAGCTTCAAGGAAGAGATTACTCAGCTTGCTTAGAGGACATGATTATACATAGAGAGAAGATTCATCTCTTGATTGAGAAGATGGACCAAACTAAATCTGCTGGCCCAGATGGAATACACATTCGAATTCTAAAAGAATTAAAGCTTCACGTTATTGATTGTCTAGCTGAAATATTTAATGAATCTATGTCAACTGGATGTGTCCCGAAATCTTGGAAGTCAGCGAATGTTGTACCATTATTCAAGAAAGGCAAAAAATCTGACCCAGGAAATTACAGGCCAATAAGCCTCACAAGTGTAATTGGCAAGATCATGGAGACTGTGGTAAGGGATGAAATTGTAGAGCATTTGGAGTCTAATGATCTAATCACCAAACATCAACATGGTTTTAGAAAGGGTCACTCATGTTCTACCCAGCTACTAGAAGTGACAAATGATTGGACCAAGTACTTGGATACAGGTAACAACATTGACTGCATTTACCTGGACTACAGGAAAGCTTTTGACAGTGTACCTCATGCCAGACTGATAAAGAAATTACAGGCTTATGGAATCCGAGGAAAAGTGTGGAAATGGATCTCCAACTTCCTATCTGATCGCTCTCAACAAGTGATAGTGAATGGCTCCAAATCCTCTTCCTGCCTGGTCACAAGTGGTATTCCGCAAGGAAGCGTCCTCGGTCCAGTATTATTTACGATCTTCATTAACGACATTCCAGATTCATTATCTACGTCCGTATCATCTACAGTCAAACTCTTTGCAGACGACACTAAGCTGTACTCTCCTGTGAACTCACTAGAAGATAGTGCTGCATTACAACATGATCTAGATCTCCTTGCAAAGTGGACGGACAAGTGGCAACTCCCCATAAATGAGTCAAAGACAAAGGTGATGCATCTTGGGAAGTCTAACCCTAATGTCAACTATAACCTCAACTCATCAATTTTGACATCTGTGGTTCTAGAGACTGATCTGGGAGTATCCTTCGACAACAACTTAAAGTTTTCAGCGCATGTAAACAGAGTTGCATCCTCTGCGAACAGGAAGCTTGGCCTGATTCGCCGCACCTTTTCATTCTTGGATGAATCGGGCCTTGTACACCTCTACAAGTCTTTAATAAGGCCATCCTTAGAATACTGCTCCAGTGTGTGGCACCCTGTTCTCAAGAGAGACCATCTAAAGCTGGAGAGAGTGCAACGCAGGATGACAAAAATTCTTCTATCTATTCGTGACTTGGAATATTCTGACCGGCTTAGACATTTGAAATTGCCCACACTTGCATACCGTCGTCACAGAGCGGATATGATACAAACATATAGACTTTTCCATGGGATTGACCGCAGTGACCCCAACCAATTCTTTCTGAGACCTTTGAATGACAGAACACGTGGCCACAGCTTCAAACTATCAAAAGTTAGAGCCTTCACTTCTATCCGAATGGGATCGTTTTCACAGCGAGTCGTCAATTTATGGAATGCGCTTCCAGCTTATGTAATTGATAGCCCATCTGTAAACTCATTCAAATCCAACCTGGAAAAAGTATGGAGAGCTAAATATGACATGTACAACCCTAAAGAAATGTTTCCTTGCTATTGCATTGTCCGGAGCTCCGACGTAGGCGCAATCCCCAGTACATACAGACATTAATCCTGCTGCAGAGGGGCATATAAGTAATTATACTTGAAGCCCAACATCAAGGTAAATCAAGGTAAAACAAAAGGTATTCATGAAGCATATCTAGGACTTTGGCAGTTATTATTCTAAGATGCTCAAAGGGGAACTTCTCTATGTGTAAAACATCTGTGGATATTTGGGGTCATTTGTACCATGTGCTATCTGTAAACTCCCTTATTATATGGAATAACAAAAGGAAAGATACATGTAAAATAAAACTAAAAAGAGAATATGATAGAAGGGTAAAAAAAAGATAACTAAAGCCAAGGAAGAGTAAAAAGAGAAAATGATACATGGATAAAAACAAAGAATAACATACACAAAAATTGAATAGAAGATTATAGAATGATACAGATTTATAAAGAAAAGTTAAATAGTTACATGTATTATTAAAAGAAGTGAAGGTGAACTAAGCAAAACAAAGAATAACAAAATAGAAAAATAGAAAAATTATAGAAGGATAACAATGAAGGTTTAATAGCATAAGAATTATTAAGATAATGGAAGATAAGAAAGGGAAGATTAATCATTAAACAGTAAAGGGTGATGAACTATTTATAGAATGATGGGAAGTCAAGATTATCTGACTAATAAAGCCTAGACCTAGATCTATATACATGTACATGTATGGTACATAGTAGGTCAATCTCTTGATGTATCAATTTCAACTGTCAAGAAAAAAAAGAAGAAAAAAACAGGGAAAACAAGTAAAACAAAAAAACAATTTACGATTGCAACTGATTGAAACTCTGATATAAAACTAAAAGTCTATATACCAATCGTGGATCCATGTTTAAAATGAATTATTCAATTAGCCTTTTGTAAAACATAATCTAGATCCAAAACAAGTCTGACAAGCAACAAATTGAATAATATTTTTCTTTCTAGAGTAGAGTCTCCGGTTTGCGGCATCGCCCGGTTTGCGGCCAGGGGTATTTGTTTTAAAAATAAAATGAATATGACTCGATAATAATCATTGAAACCTACCGTGGATTCCACGGTAAGTTCTGCTTTGCCGAAAACGTTCGTAGCAGGTGCTCCTGTCGGTACGGAGTATCCGTCAGCGATGTCGAAAATCTACGGCACCAGTCGCCGATGAAAATTCCAGCAGGTGCTAACTTTTAAGTTAAGAGATCGAGGCATGACTAGATCAATATTGTAGCTCTATTTGTCCGATATTTGTCCGATTGGAGGTGAAATTTGATGTTTTTGTGGAAGTATGATGGCTGTGGTCTGTCTCCTATCGCAGATATTTTGATTGTGCCACCGCATGGCCAGTTGCATGGGGTGGCCGCAAACCGGCACGTAATTACGTGTTTTTTTCTGGTTTGCGGCGGGGGGTGTTAATACACACATAACATGCGGGATCGTGTATGATGGTATGTGTGCTGATGTGTGTACCCGCTATGACACGATAGTTTCTAGTAGTACTTACCCCCGGATGGGATGATCCATTCGAGGAAAAGGTGAAATTGTTTAAAACTTGACAAATTTACCGTAGCAACAGATAAACATGAGAATTTGGGTTACCCGTAGTAATTTGGTACATGCTTTTATCGTGACGTAGCGCATAAAGCTTTGTGACGTACGCGTGCCGCAAACCGGTAATGCGTGCCCGCAAACCGGGGAACTTGAAGCATTTCGAAACGTGGTCAATGCTGACCACGCTGTGGGTCAGTTAGGTTATTTGTGACTTCTATTTAATAAGTAAGTATATGGACTCTTTATTGAGGGTATTGAAGTATTCTGTGAGTATTCCAATAAAAGTGGAATCGGCAGTTCCCGCCGATCGGCCGCAGACCAGAGCCACTACTCTATATTATTATTAATTAATTAAAGGGAGTGTATCATGACAAATACTAGTTAACGCCATCTACGTCTTCTTTTGGACAACTGCACGTAAACGAATAGACTTGATTAACTGGGTCAGCGCGCTAGCGTTCGCAAAACAGACCAAACTTCTCCTCACGGTTCGGTTTCGCATAGAGTCTATGTTGCACGCACGTGAATGCTGCGGTTGCGTCGTCTGTATTCGTATGATACCTGATTGGCCCCGGGTAGCGCCACAGGAAAGACACGTAATCTCATCATGACACACTCCCTTGTCAGGAAAGTCTGATCCAGGCCCAAACTTCAAAGTTAAACAAACATTAAAATAAATAAATAAAAGGGTGGGTCCAGTTTCAAAAAATGGAACAGCCTTGGTCTGGACCTGATCATAGAATAGAAACCTGACATTATAATCATGATGATGAAACCTTTATTTTTAAATAAGAACAATGATGAGATTAATGAGACCCCACTCATAATGTTGAGTGAAGGCCTGTGCAAGTGTGCAGTGCTGCTGCTGCATTGCAGTGATCTTGCAAATGTTGATTACGACCGACCCAGGCGCTAGGCGCACAGTGCACAGTGCCGTGCAGACCCGTGAGGTGAGAAGGCCAACGCTGTGTGTGGCTATGCCTATGGCGCAGCGCAGCACGGCGGGGATCTTGCCTACCTTTACGTGCTTTATCCGCGGGAATGTTCTGAGCTCGTAGTCGCTGATCCAAAATATACAACATTTCACCTCCAAGGTTGATGAATAGAACCGGTAAAGCCCGTTGAGACATTTTTACGATTTATAGTTCCACAGATATAGGGGAAATATGATTTTATTAGAGATCTAAAGACGTGATTCGGCGTCGGTGTATCCCTGGATATATTTTCAAAGTCTCGTTCGCATAACGATTATTCTGATAAAATAATTAATATGAGTATAAAATATATAACGATATTAAATACATTTATAATAACTATTTTACAACCTAATTTATTTGTTTCCGATTCTAAATTTTAATTAAATTTTATTTGTAAACATATTAAATATATGATCATTAACATTTTAATAAAATATTCTGACCAGCCTCTTATTTGTGTGAACATTTCGAGCATAAATACAGACTTGCACAATATGGTGTTTGTAAAAAAAAGATTATGTGTAGTTCGGCTTTATTTTCTACACGGATCGCGGGCAGATCAGCAAATAAGCTCAGGGGTTTTAGGCAAAAAATTGAGAAAAGCCCCGGAAAATCATGTCATATCAGCAACTTTTGAAAATCATTGGTAGCGAATTAGAAATAAGCCACATTTGAATTTAATTTGGTACGCCATCAGTACGCCAGTGTTCAGGGGCTCATTTCGTCTTCCCCCTATGATAAAAACACACACGCGCTTTCCCATCCTCTCACAATTTCCATGATATGTGCATATCGCTGTAATAAATTCCTCCATTGATAAATATAGGGGCACGCGGAATGTTTCGGAAATTTAATTCCTATTTACTCTCCTTTTCTTAAATAAAATTTTTTTTTTAATGTAATTAAATTTGTATGTGTTATTATTTGTTATTTTATTTTTTGTTAAAAAATACAAACCATTTTTACTCCTTTACTGCTGATTTCTTTCTTTCTGGGGCAGGGCCGTAGCCAGAGTTTGATGTTGGGGGGGGGGGGGCACATACATGTAATTGATCGACGTCCTGGGGAGGGGTCTAAAAAAGTTCAACCGATCTTGGAATTTTTTTTGGGGGGCACATACCTTCCGTTCCCCCCCCCCCCCATAGCTACGTGCCTGTTCTGGGGGGGGGGTGCTATAAGGGGGGGGCGGAAATGCCTTTGCCCGCCCCCCCACTTTTTTGTCGATGAGGGCAACTCCCCCCCCCCCCTCCTTTTTATTTTTGAAAATCAGTGGTAGCGAATTAGAAATAAACCAGGTTTGAATTCAATTTAGGGGGCAGCTTTAAGGGGCAACTGCCCCCCCCCCCCCGCCATCAGTACGCCAGTGTTCAGGGCTCATGTCTTCTCACCCCTATAATAAAAAAATACGCACGGCTTCCCATGCTCTCACAATAATTCCACGATATGTGCATATCGTTATATTATAAAATCCTCCATTGATAAAAAATAGGGGCATGTGGAATGGTTAGGAACTTTAATTCCTATTTTCTCTCCTTTTCTTGAATGGAATATTTTTTTGAGTGTGGTTCAATTCATGTGTTATTATTTGTTATTTCATTTTTGGTTCAAAAATACAAACCGTTTTTACTTCATCACTGCTAATTTTTTTTTTTTTTGGGGGGGGGGGGGGGCGGCGGGCTTTTAGAGGGGGGGGGGGGCGAACATGCGTTTTGCCCCCGCCCCTCCAACACTTTCTTTTTCGTCGGTAGTTATTTTATCACAACAGGCCCCACAACTTTATAGTCGCTAATTTCAGTCTATTAGTCTAATTTGAGGAGATAATGTATTAACAAAATATTTGATGGTATTATTATTATCTTCTCATGATAATACAATTCAAATTTAACAATTTAAAGATCAAAAAGAGGAAATCAATATTTATTTTTACTCAATTCACATATCAAATTATTTTTTATCAACACAAAACATCAAATTGAGAACACAGAGTACTGTCCTAAAGTTAAAACGTCTGAGGCCAGACTACAGGCACTTCAGCACGAAATCGTTTGCAGAGAGATCTAATTTATTGTAGTGGTTCAAAGGCAAAATGGATCCTGAGGCTGAGGACTTTGAATACCAGCTGAAGTTAGAGCAGGAAGAGCAATGGAAACGAGACAATGGATACATCTACACCGATCCTAATGACGGCACAATGTATGAATGGGACCCTGAAAAGAAGGCATGGTTCCCAAAGGTAAGCTAGTTCGACAACACGTTCAAATCGCAATGAAAGACCGCTGGCTGGCGCGGGCGCGGGCAAGAGTGGGCGCCTGGCAAAGGCTGTCCAAAGACTCCAAAACTTACAAAAGAGCAAACTCCCAAGTTTGGGCTAAAGACAAGGGGGAACTCCACTCTGAATTTCTGATATTTTTTTTTGCTAGACTAGATGGGCATGGGCCTTGGCCTGGGTTAAGCCTAAGGGAATGTAATTAAACTAAAAAATCAACGAAAGTTTGAGCAAAATGAAAATCTGATTAAAAATCATGATTTATTAAACTCAACAAATTAAGTAAGAAAGAGAAATTAAGTTGGTATATTCAGTAGGCCTAGGGGCGCTGGTCCGAGAATAAGGATCGTTTGCATAAACTAGCATTTTCTGCATAAACAAGCGTTTTCTGCATAAACAAGCGTCGTCTTCTTAAACGTGGACGGATGCATCCTCGAAAATAGGGATCGTCCGCATTTTCGCAGACATTTCATATTTTTGATCGGCACGGTGGATTTTCTTGATGCAATTTAGACTTCTACATTGTCTTTGTACCGAGACTTTCACATAATATGAGCGATAAATCCTTGGGAAGACGGACAACCCATAAGAATAGACGGTCAACTAGGGTTATTTTCTTAAGCTTAATCCATTTTTAGCATCGCCAGCGGGCGATTCGGTAACCCGAATGAGTACATGTAAATGAGAAATCCAATGTGTGTGACAGAAGGAAGCAAACAAGGTGGCGGTGTCCAAATACATTATTGCTGACTTTTTAAAAGTTGAAATCAATAAAATACAGTTTGGCAACTCTGTGACTTCTCTTACTAGGTTCTCTCCCATTTTTTTTGTAGCTCTACTAAATCTGATCTGCAAGAATCTTCAAGGTTGAAGGAAGCAGAAGAAAAAATGAGAAATTGCTATTCTCTAAGCAAAAGATTTAATCATATATGCACCCCAAAAATTATCATTGTACATTTGTACACATGTTTTACACAACCTCTGCATGAAACAAACCTATTTCTTCATCGGCAACATCCAAAAACAGAAGGCAATTAATCAAACTGTCTGTACAGAGCAAATGAGAGAAGACCTCAAATGATGTGTCACAGATTTCCAAAGAGCTAAGAATCCAAGTCACAAGAAATTTCCTTCATGTTTTTTTAATGCAAATTCATTACCCTTTTCAAAGGTGGATGAGAACTTCATTGCATCTTACCAAGCCAGCTACGGTGTCACGACCGATGAGAACACTGCAGACGGTCAGACCGATCCACAGCCTTCAGCAGCAGCAGCTACATCAGCATCGGCATCCTCAGGGACTCCAGGAACGTCTGCAGGAGTGGGTGAAGACACCACACCAGGAGGGAAGGATGGAGCCAAAGGAGAAGGGGAAGTGAAGAAGCTAGATGAACAACCCCAGATGCTCTATAGGTACCAAAAGATGCAGATGAAGAGGAAAGCAGAACAGAAAAGTGAGTTTCATTTTTATTTGGATAATCATGACTGAACCGAAAACAAATACTTATATTATGTACATTGTTTTGATACAATATTATATTGTGTGTAGCCTTGACTGTTTATCCTAAAGAGTTTCAGTGATTTTGTATCTACAACCTGTAGTTGTTCAAGATGATAGATACTTAATAGTCTGAGATACATGTAATTTATCTCACGGAAAATATGTGTATCAATCTTTATCAACTTTAATTGGTTGTCATACCTGTAACTGTATACAACTACTTTGGAATGTTTCAATACGGGATAAATTTATATAATTTTTTTGAATAGTTTCATATTTTGTTGATAAAACGAACACGCAAGTTTATCAGAACATTCAAATATTCAAACTGGTTGATTCAACTTTGAAATACTAATGCAGGAAAAACATGAAGGATCACAAGAGCTCTCGGACACTAGGAAAATGTTCTGCTAAATATCAAGGAAACACATGAATAGAATTTTCTGAAGGAAAACTCATATTTACTAAAGCAAAGCAACTAATGTCCCAAGTGTGCCCTCCCTTAATAAGTCACAGTTGTAATGTATATTAATCTCTGTGATTATGCCCCCCTCCTCCCAGGCTGGTTCGAGGTCGATCCCACCAAGAACACCAATGTCTACGTGAGCGGCCTTCCAACTGACTTGTTATACATATTAATCTCTGTGATTCTACCCCTCTCCTCTCCTCCCCTCTCAGGCTGGTTTGAGGTCGATCCCACCAAGAACACAAATGTCTACGTGAGTGGCCTTCCAACTGACATCACCCTAGAGGAATTCCAGGAAGTAATGGCCAAGTGGGGTATCATCATGTTGGAAGAGGAGACGGAGAAACCCAAGATCAAGCTCTACATGGACGAGGAGGGCAGACCTAAAGGAGATGGCAGATGCTGCTATCTCAAGGTGAGTAGACTGCCAAGTCGTGCGTTTTTAACGGGGGAAAAGGGGGAAATACGTTTTTACGTTTTGCTGTGCTAAAATCTGTTTTTTGTAAGTTCCGAGAATGGCTGTGCGAACGTGGCCGGCTGCCGATATTGTATAAAGTAAAGCCTGTTGCAAATTTCTTTCTTTTCTTGTTCACAGAGAGAGTCAGTTGACCTTGCCTTACAGTTGCTGGATGAGTCAGAGATCAGAGGTCACAAGATTCATGTAGAGGTCGCGACCTTTACCCTCAAAGGAGATTATAAACCTGATATGAGGAAGAAAAAGAAACCCAACAAGAAAAAGAAAGGAAACGTTCAAGACAAGTGAGTCATTCATTTGTTTTAATTATTCTTTACCTGGCAATATAATTGAAGTTATATATTCTATTATAGAGCAATGACAAAGGAGTTTTGTGTTTATTTATGCATAGGTAAACTCAAGCCTTTTATTAAGTCAAAGCAGACCGGGAGCCAAATATCTGAATAAGCGGCTCCCGGTCCTTAAATTTTTTAGAGGACCGGGAGCCGTTTTCCAGGACCAGGAGCCGTTTCCAAAATTGATGAAAATATGTATTCCTTTAAATTATTTGTTAACCGTTACCTTTTATTTATACATACGGTAGTTTAATTTCTAGTTTAAATGTTGAGCACTCTAATATTAAATCACTCATACCTTGGATAAATCTGTCATTTGTAGTTGTTGTTGTTGTTCATGTTTAATACTATTTTCATGCTGTTAAATGCAAAAATTGAAAAATGTTAGGAAGGGGGGAATTAAATTATTTTTACAATTTTTTTCATGCAGAGCTGCCAACCTGTCACTTTCAAAAAACATATTATTCAGCTTAATAATTGAAAAAGCATATTTTAGGTGAAAAAACAGATTTTGCCTGTTTTACGTTTTTGTTATTTTCCCTATAAAATGCTATTGCATTTATGTTTCTTTGAATAAAAACGCATTTAATCATTGAGAGCAGCCGACCTGTCACTTAAAAAAAAAATAACAAAAAAAATATTAAAAAAAAAAAAAAAAAAAAATAGAAAATTTAAAAAAAATTATTTGTTAAATATATTTACCTATTTTATCAGAAAAATCTATTATTTAAAACATCATATAATTTTAGTCAATGAGTACGAAGGTCGCTGAATTGCAGCGCAACACACGATGATGTTCTATGCCGAAGGTGCGGCACACATTGGTGCTTAATTGCGGTCGAATCAAGGCAAGTCTGGAGTTGCAATAAACTTTGTACATAAAGTCAATGCATCAGCAGGTCCGGTGTTCGTTTTTCATTTGACTTTTTGAAGATACCATCACATTCGAAGGGCATGCGATAGGCGAAAAAACTTTGGTGAAGTTGTTTCTTAAAACTGGGCTAAACCCCCGTGAGCTTTGGAAATATGGCTCCGATTCCGCATTTTTGACAGCAAAATTTGGCTTTTGGGATGGATTTTTGGAAGTTACATCGGGACTTTCTTGTACTGACACTGTGTGTGTAGTGCAGTGCACGGATTATGTCATTTGTGTGTGTATGCATGGCCTGGGGAAATGCTCTCGTCTTTGAGTGGTGTACATCCCCTGTATTGTGTGCAATGTACATGAGTGCGCGCTACAGGAATCGCCAACACAAAGCAATAGCGAAACTATGCATATGCTCGTTCTCACAGCCAGCCGCTAACCACGTTCGCACAGTCAAACTTTTAGACGGAGTGAGAGTGTTGTTCGCGTACTCTCGATCTCAGCTAGCGGTCTGCACGCCGCTGCTAGCCCCCATAGCGGTGGCGCTAGGAGTAGGATATAACGGCCGCTCATATTCGTGCTGCAATTGTTTCTGGGCGATTTTAATTAGGATTCTCATTATAAAATGATTTGTTAGGGTTCATTCAGTCCACGTTTTACTCGTATCAAGTAAGTTTTTGTCACATTTGTGAACATTAAGTGCTAGACATGTGGAAGTTTATGAAACAGAGAATGTTAATTCTCCCAGACCGGGCGCCAGAAATAAAAAATGACCGGCGCCCGGTATTCATTTTTCCCGTCTTACCGGGCGCCAAAAGTCAGGGACCGGGGGGTAAAAATCGCCCGGCGCCCGGTTAATAAAAGGCTTGGGTAAACTTTAATGCATGTAAACATCATTAATTAGATAAGTAAACTTTAGTGCGTGTATATATACTTAAAATGTGTTTCTCATGCTGCATCATAACAAAGACTGTCAGCTTTCTGAGCAACTTTCTCTGGCTGCTGATCAAGCTGACAGAAAAGCAAAATTGAATAGCTCCCTCTATAGTTCATTGCTGTCTACCTTTGTATGGGATGAAAGGTAAATTAAAGAAAGAGGAAAGAAAATAAAGTAACATCAAAGATGTGTGTAGAATAAGGAGGACCTACATGTAGTACATTTAGGTAATGGCCCAAAAGTGATAATCATAGTTGGAAAGAAGTCTGTAATGGGGATAGGGGTGGGTTGATGATAAAATAATTACTACTTCTCATGATGATGAGAGGATACTCACTGGAGTATAATAATGTTGGGTGAAGATTGGAATGGTTGATAGAGATTTTGAAGATGTTATTGATGTCATTGATGATGAGGATTGTGATGATGATAATTCGATGGTTCGTTTTTATAATAATTGTTATAAAGACAACAATTACATGTATGATGATGCTGATAATAGTAGTGATTATTCTGTTCTAAAGGCAAAGCTATCCAAAAGTTTTTTTTACTAAACTTCAAGAAAATGTTTGGTTTGGTTTGAATTTATTTCATATAAAATCACCCAAATCATCTTGGACTTTATTACACATTACTTGATTGATTGATTGCATTGGTTTGAAACCTTACCCATATATTATGAATATTTTTAGACCATCTTGACGAGAGAAAAATAAGAGGAAACATTAGAATATATCAATTGATTAAAAAAATACCAGGGCTCATATTCATAATATCTTACTTTGCTTAGTTGTAAATTAACTAATAACTATAGCCTACTGTATATGTCAATAACTAGGCCCAGATGTACTTTACTTATATTGTTCGGGTACAAGATTTTTAAAAGTACACTTTCTATTTCATAAACAGTATGCTTCATGTAGCTGCTAATAATGTGGTCAAGGAGGATATTGTCTGTTTGGAACCAGAAGAATGGTTATTCATGAGTTCAAACCTTTCTGGCTTGTGAACCACATTGACAAACAGTTATTCTCACAATGTCCTTCTGATTGATTTTATTTTTAACTTGTTCTTGTATCATTGCAGACTTCTCGACTGGAGGCCTGAGAAGAAGTTTCAACAGAGGAAAAGAAACGAGCAAGTTATCATCCTGAAACATGTCTTCCATCCAAGTGAATTTGAGGTATGTTTCAAACCATTGATTTGTGTATAACTATTGTAAAACTTCTATTTCTGATATGAGATTTACAAATGTGTACTGCGATCTTTAAAGGGATCCGGTAACTTTGTCTTAGATCCTTTAAAAAAATCCTTGATTTAGCTCATGTTGCAATGATAATTATAAACCCTCAGGTCAGTCAGGAACTCCATGACTTTTACAAGCTGATCGCCTGTCTGATTATCAAGATATTTATGATTGGAAATCGAAACCAAATTTTGCGTTTTCATAACACTACAGTCTATTGGGGAAATAAGGTAAGGTAAAAGGTAAAAACCGGTCACTCAAATATTTTTACTTTTTTGAGGCACTTCTAGGTCATTTTGAAGCACAATTTTTTTTAGGGCTTCAATATTTCATCATATCACAGACACTGATAACACGTAGGGCCATGCATCTCAGATTTAACATTGTTAAATGATGCCTTTAATACGAGGTGGAACCTTTCTGTCTGTGATTGAAATGTGCAACTTTGTAATGGACATGTCATTCAAGAGAATGGACATCAAAGGAAGCCATCAATTAGAGAAACACTAATAAAACTTTCTTCCATAGGCTCAGTATATTTAAACTACATGTACGTGTAATGCTTGCATATGATGTGGATCAAGTTTTATTGGCGTTGTTGTTTCTTTTTCGTCTTTCATTTTTCTGTTTGATTGTTTGTTTATTTGTTTCATATTCTCTTTTTTTTTATTGATTGATTAATAATTTGTTGTCATGTTTATTTGATTGAGTGACTGACTGATTGATTGGTTAGTTCAATTATGAGTGGACTCGTTATTTTTTTGTTCCTTTCTTTGTTTTGGGGTGATTAATGAATAAAGCAATGGACTTGAGAGTTTATCAAATCTATAAATGCTTCTTTGAAGTTGAAACCAAACTCATGCTGATTGCTGACAGGCTTTTCATTCCCTGATTTCTGCTTTTTGATGTCCGATTATTGATTCTGAATGTTGTTTGGTGTATGCTTGCATGAACTTGAGTCTGTATTGAAGAAACCCAACTCTTCAAGGCTTTTAATGCACTTTTGAAGGATCACTCATCGCTGTACAAGATTCGCACACCCATGACAGTTTTCACTTGCAATTCAATCCGGGCAACATGAGATTAGCCACAATTTGAGCGGGGTCAAAGGTCGGGATTAACCAATCATCATGCAGTGTTCTCTGGGCTTTCAGGAGTAGACCTGGTACTCTGGGAGAATGACAGATCGGTCTAGAGGCCTAGAAGAAAAGGGATATAGACAGAGATGGACAAAGAAAAGAGGTTCATCCAACAGAAAATGTGATTTTGTAGACAAGATAGAGGAAAGAAGGCAAATGAGAGACTGAAAAAGAGAGAGAGAGAGAAAGAGAGAGAAAGAGAGAGAGAGAAAGAGAAAGAGAGAAGGGGGCAGAGAGAGAAAGAGAGAGAGAGAAGGGGGCAGGGATTAGTGTGGCTATTTACAAAAAATTATCATTAGTAACATATTTCCTAGTAAAAAAAGTAGACCTTAATCAAATTCAATCTTACAATTGAATTCTCTCAAATAACATTTAAACAAATTAGAGCTAAGAGAAAAACTGAGTAAAATGAACTTCATATTACAAATGATGCAAAACAAGGAAGCAAAGTGGAAAGGAGAAATAGAAGGATAAATTTTGAAAGAAAAAAAAGTCAGGAAAAAGATGGGAAAAGGATGCTTGAGAGGTGCTCTGCAGAATAGGAAAAAAGATTATTAAAAAATCTACACTTACTAAGAACTGGTATCATACTAGGAGATGTTTGGCAAAGAGAAAAAGGAAAAGAAAAAAGTGTGGCTATACCTCAGAATCCCACGGTGCATCACTCATCACCTAGCAACGTGATACGCAGATGGTGGAAGAATCAACTCCAAAGCTAGTCTTTCTTGCCAGTTGTTTGTTTGATTCAAATCCTTGATAAAATTGAGAAGTAGGAAACTAGAGCCTTTTAGAAAGTTTCAAATCAAAGTTGAAAATATGACAGAATCTTCCTCAGACATGTTTGATACCTGGATATACTGTACATTCTTGGTTCTAACTTGATCTTACCTTGTGGGCCTCAGAATGGCATTCTAGATAAGTGGCTTCATACATTGTACGAGTACTATCATTGTCATCTAATATAATTTCCTGAAACATTTCTTGAAACAAAATTTGGAGTCCTTAGAATTTATCTTACTTTATGTTCAGAGAAGAACCTCAATGTATATTAATTGTTCCATACATGTATAAGAAAACCATTATGCTGGGATCATTTTTGAGCAATGTGAAATCAGTTCAGGCTTCAGTGAGCTGCAGATTTTAGTTTTGATTTCTTTGTGCATACTAAAGGGGGAGGGAGGGGGGCTACAACCATTTCTTCCTTCCTTCTTCTTAGCAATCCCTTTAATTTTGAAATTTGTCCTAGTCTAATTTCCAAAATGGCTGTTAAGTCAAGTCTGGGAGGCTATCACTGGTCTCGATGCTCAAAGTAAATTATGAGAGGTCCGCCTTTTTCAGAAGACTGTTTACAACCTTCTCCTTCTAAACAATCCCTTTAAGTTTCAAAAACCAGTCCTAGTCCAACTTCCAAAATCTGCTGTCGGACAAGTCCTTTTTCGGATATGAACTTTTTCTTTTTCTTTTTGAAGAAAGTGACCGTCGACAACCTTCTCTTCCTAAACCATCCCTTTAAGTTTCAAAAACAGTCCTAGCCCGACTTCCCTAAACTGCTGTTGGGCCAAGTCTAGTGGTCTGTCACTGGTCTAGATGCTAGTGAAACGCCTGGTATCAGGTAGACCGAACCGGACACCCTACACCACACACCCTATTCCACCCGGACCGGGCCATTGTTGATGGTGGTGGCTCCGCCTATACTATCAATACCGGTGGTGACAGGTAAACGTACTATACATTTATTGATTCGCAGCAGAAAACAAACAGGCAATGGGATACAGTGAATGTTGCTCCCTTTTTCTTTCGTCTGCTAGGACTTCTTGTTGAATCGTGCGGGTTACATCAGGTTTTCGAGTATTGATATCATGTTTTTATCATTCTGTGATATTGGTTGTATAGTGTACAAAATAGTCTCGTTTAGAATGTGTATGACTTCCCTCTCTGTACATTGCAAATGTCTCCTACTCGCCATGGGTGATCTCTTCTTAATTGCAATCTTGTCCATGTTGCGATCGTGTCCATGTTGCGATCATGTCCATATATTGCAATCATGCCCATGTTGCAATCATGTCCTTATTGGAATCATCATATCCATATTTTAATCATGTCTATATTGCAATCATGCCCATGTTTCAATCATGTCCAAGTTGCAATCATGTCCATGTTGCAATTTAAGATTTCTGAAGCATCAAAAGAGTGAGGTTCTCTGCAAGGAAGAAATATACAATGGTCATTTATGACCCCAATGTATTCATAGTTGTGGCACACATCCGGAAAGCAAAAGGCATCATCGTTGGTGGTATTGGTGAATTATATGATGTAAATCTGACATCTGATATCTCAATGACATTTCGACTTATGAGAGTCATTAGATATTAAAGTGACTCAATGTTAAACATTGCCTCAGATTCTGAAACAAAATCCTGGATTTAGCTCATGCTGCGATCATAATTATAGACCTTTAGGTCAGTCAGGAATCCCAAGACTTTTACATGCCGACCGCATGTTTGATAATCAAGATATTTTCATAATTTCATTTTTCGTTTTCCTAACGGTTTTTATAACAATACAGTCTATTGGGGACAATGAGTATGGTAAAACGGGTCACTCAACGACTTTTACTTTTTTGAGGCACTTCATGATTATTTTGAACCACAATTTTTTTAGAGCTTCAATATCACACCGTATCACAGACTCTGATAACACGTAGGGCCATGCATCTCAGATTTAACATTGTTAAACAATGCCTTTAATATAGAGATCTCTGAGATGCCCAACTCTACCATACTGTACATTCAGCATCCTCTTGCACAGGAGTCTTGGCTTCTTGCGTGTGAATGCCAAATATGTTAGGTTGAAGGATCTCTGTGCATGTAATGGCTGCATACCTGAGATGTGCAGTTAATTGAGTGTAAACAGACCCAATTTGACCAGGGGACTTGTCTTACTTCTGAAGGGATTAGAGACACTAGGTGGATGGCAAATTAGGATGCAGAGAATGGTGCAGTTAAAGGTAAAGGTACTAAGTCCCATTTGCAGGTCAAAAAAATGAAAAGTTTAAATTCCAACGGCATTTGAAAGATAATACTAATTTAGAACTTCTCTAAAAATAAGGGGGGGGGCTTGAAAATGTCTTTAAGTGGGAAAATAACGACTATTAGTTGTCAAATCGACTTAGGAGCTATAGAGCCAATAAGTAATAGTCTGATTTTTCAGACCATTGTACCGAATGGTCGTACATTTAATGCTGTGCAAAGCTTCAATCAGTTTAATTTTGGCCATTACAAGAAGTGGGTTATTGATGTAGACAAATGCTCAAGCACCCTTTACAGCTCATTTTATGTATGTCATTACCAAAGAAGAAAAATAAGCCAGTCAGTCACTCAACAGTGTCTGACAGTGAAGTCTAGCAAGTAAACGAGTTTCCTTGCATAATTTGAATATTAGGACACTGCTAACGTTTAAATTTCACAGATAGGACATACATGACATATTCATAATTCCTGCAAAGTTCTACAGAATTTGATGTTGGCTGCAAAAGGGACATTGTATCTTTAAAGGGGGCTAGTCACTCTATCATTTCATTTTGTTGTTGTTGTTGTTGGTGGTGGTGGTGTTTTATACTCTGTAAGGGGTTCTCAATGACGATGTTTGATGATGTTGTTTTATGTTTGGTGTTTATTTTTTAAATGACTCCAAGGAGACATGGAAGAAATACAGATAAATGGTACAAAGATATTTTACTAAACAGAGACAGTAAAAAAAAAAGTAATGATGGTGTTAAGTGATCATGAGAAGTTTACATTCATCAAGAATTTTTCATTTCTTAATTAATACATCTAAAGAATAATAACCAGGAAGTTCATATATTTACAAACTTCATACTTCATGCTCTTTCACAAGCATGACTCGTACAACTTCCAAGCTTTTACATACATGTAACACCTTCTTGATTGTAGGCTCATGGCCTCATGCCTGAATACTCAGTAATATTTATGATGTACTTGTGCTCATTTGGTCAAGGATTAAGCTTCAAATATTACATGCACAATATGTACATGCTTTTCTGGAAAGCTATCCTGCAAGTTTGAATTAGAGGTAAAGGTAACGTGGGAGGAGGCTAGTTGCTTAAACCCTTATGTACATCCCAAGGCCTCCTTGAATGGTAATAATAATAATTAATAATTACAGGGCTTATATAGCGCCTAACACTTACTTTGTCTATAATTCATTACTTATCAGATATTTCTTTGTCAGAAACCTTACTTTAGAAATTAATATTATTATATTATTATCATTCTTCCTCCTCTTATTCTTCTTCTTCTCCTTCTCCTTCTTCTTCTTCTTCTTCTTTTTCTTCTTCTTCTTCTTCTTCTTCTTCTTCTTCTTCTTCTTCTTCTCCTTCTCCTTCTTCTCCTTCTTCTCCTTCTTCTTCTTCTTCTTTTTCTTCTTCTTCTTCTTCTTCTTCTTCTTTCCTTTACTGTCTGATATTGTCTTCATGCTCCTACAGGAAGATGCCATGCTGATCAATGACATCAAGGACGATGTCAAGGACGAGTGTTCAACGTACGGTGAGGTCAAGAAGGTCCTTATATTTGATGTAAGTCCTCTCCTCAATTATTAAAACTAATCTACAGAAACATTGTGGAATCGATCAGAAAAGGTTGATCATCTAGCATATTAGTATTGGTGTGTACTGCAAGGTTCTGGAATCATCAAAATGAAAAGAATTTTGACCCAGTCTTGGTAAAGTTACAAGCACTGTTTACAGAAAGATGTATATGGGACTACACCAACATGTGGCATAAAAATCTGTCATGATTGTTATGCTGTTACATGCCATATATGTATGAAGGCATTTGAAAAGCCATGCTTTTCAGGGAACATGTTTTATCCAATGTTCTTGCACACTTGCATTATAACAACGATAATGCTCACAAATTATTTTTCACCTCTTCCCAGAACTCAACCTTCTCAACACACCTTTGTTCTGCGACAAGAAAATGACATTCATTATTTATCGTACTGAATTGAATCTTGTTACATTCTTTATTCTTGTACGTTCTAGATACCGGTATGCATATAAGAACTGTGATTCCAATCACATCTTGGTGTTAAGTGTTTAATTCAAGGACTGATTTTTCTACATGAATTCTCAGGAGTTGAAATATACCTTTAATTATTTCTAGATTCTAATCATATTTTTATTTTGGTTCTCAACAGAGACATCCAGATGGCGTTGTGTCAGTCAAGTTTAAAGATGTTGAGAATGCCGACAAATGTATCCAATCTCTTAACGGAAGGTGAGATAGATCATCTTATACCATTTATTAGGTGGGCTGTATCTAATACAGACCACCTTATAATTTTGTTAAAATTGCCTTTATTATTTCTTTATTATTTATTTTTCTTATTTCGACCCACTTTTTTGTGAGCAAGATAATTTGAAAATGGCTCAATCAAATATCTTAAAATTTGGCACACATAATGTATAGGCATATGAACAAGGCACAGCAAAGTTTTCAACCTTGACCTTGACTGATGACGTCATCTAGGCGCCATTTTGTGAAATTTTCTGAAAATTTACTCATGATCATATTTTCATAACGGTAATTCATTTCTCATTCATATTTATCACGATCAAGGTCAATATCAGTTCGGTCAATTTCAGGTCAAAAAACGCGCGCGTGCGCGTACGTCCGCGCGTCAGTGCGCGCGCAAAATTTTTAAATGCTCAAATTCGTCTTAAATTTATTTTGCATACGTTTCAGGTCATTTTAAGCATTTTATAAAAAATCGCGCGTACGAGCATGCGCGCGCGTTTTCGCGCGTAACACCATTAAAAAACGTAGAATCGCCATTTTTTTTTCTTTCATGATATTTCTCATATTTTTTCAAGGAATTTGATTCCATGTTTATCTCTTTATGACCATTATTAACAAGATGAGCGTAAATTCAAGATAATTGTCAGTGCGCGCGAGGTCTTTTAATACATAGCATATATGGGCAAAAACATGCCTATACAAAATCCGTTATATCTCTTTGGAATGCACCGGGATCCTCAATTTTTTTCATATTAAGATAGAGTATGAGTCGGAAATATGATTCCATGTCTAGTTTGGCCATTAAGTGTATCGTGACATCATCACAATGGCCTTGGAACTCAAAATACGAATTTGCATATTATGACGTCAGCATATTTATGTAAAATTGATTGTATCTCTGTAAATATTGATCAATTTTCTTCAAAATTTCGATATGTTGTAGCTAAGACAATTCTCTACAAGCGCAGTAATAACCATTTTTCATTTTGATGACGTCATCATAGTGAAAATTTTGATTAAAGGCCTCATGTCAAAAACTTCATAATTTGCGTGTTATGCCTATAGAAGGTGAATTTAGTTCACGTTATGAATCTACATGATATTGTCTTTTAAGAATTTGTAAGCAGTATGTCGCTTATTTTTGCTCTATTTTGTCTCAAATGTTAGTTGACCAGCCCACCTATACTTGTTCCAAACAAGTATTATATGTCTAGTTGGATATGTAATTGTTAAACCTCTTGTTATTGTGCCCTTAAATCATATTGACTGTTTTCATTTTACTGACAAGGTTTACATGTACATGTATTTGTGATCTGGGACCATTCTTATAAAGAGTTACGATTGATCCAGATTGGATCCAGATCAATCCAGAACAATCGCAACTCTGCCGTCTCCTATCTCTTATGTACATAGTTGCGATTGATATCAATCACAAATAAGTTGTGATTCATATCGACTCTTTAAAGATGGGGCCCTGATCTAAACACTTTATGCAGCACTACAATAGGTACATGTATACAGTTTGCTATAATAGCAAGATGCTGTGAAGATAATTAGAAACATCAGATAGATAGATCTGTGAAGGCTCATTCACACATTTGTCATAGTAGACCATGGTGTTGTTTTTTTGTGTACAAAATGAATGACAAATAGGCACTATAAATTCATCTGCGCACAACAAATATAACGTAACCTCTCATTTGTTTGCTGTAAGATACAAAAAATGTGAAGCGCAGTACACTTCAAGATTACTCAAAGTAAACCGCGGTGGCTTACACCAGCATATGTGAACAGGCCTGGATAGTTATAATGAAATTGGATGAAAAAATATACTGAAAGTATTAATCGTCTAAATTTGAGGTCTGATAACTATACATCTACTGTAGATAGAAATTTAAAATTTAAAATTTAAAAATACCAATAATATCAGAAATTTAAAATTGGCTAAATTCTCTATTTTGATATCTAGGTGGTTTGCCAAGCGCAAGCTGGAGGTCACTCACTGGGATGGAAAGACAGACTACAAGATAGAAGAGACGGACAAGGAGAGGGAGGAGAGACTGAAGAAGTGGGAGGATTTCCTCCAGGATGACGAGGAGGAGGAGGACAAGAAGAAGAAGGATGGAATGAAGAAGGAAGATGACAGGATGGAGACGAGTGAAGAGACAAAGAACGTTGGAGCTGATGAAGGAATGGCGAAGGAAGAAGTGGATACTGAGAAGAAAGGAAGCGATAATGGAGTGATGATGGAGGGAACTGATGAAGAGGAAGAGGAAAAAGAGGAGGGCAATTCGTGAGATGAACAGAAGAACTGAAGACATTGCAAGGTAGGCATTGGTTTGTTTCAAAATTCAATTTCAATTCAATTCATTTTAATTGCACATTTGATAAAAATTACAATTACAAACATACAAAATACAAAGTAAATTTCAACAAATAACAAAGCAGAACAGAAGTATCAAAATGTGGGGGAACAAACAAAGGCCTAAGGCCTATCAAAGGCTCGTCCACAAACTATATGAGTAATACAGGAAAGTGGTACGAAAAAATAAAACTGGCTAATTGCAACTTGTGGATATCTTGAACTGTTTAGCTTTCGCAAATAGAGGATCTGTGTGTGCTAAAAAAGATTTTGTCAATATTTATTCTTTGTTTTAATCTGCACAATGTGTATTAAATCATATTTATTATTAATTAATGATAGACATTGTTTGACAGTTTGTGTGTTATTGGTTGTAACAACATGCCCAAAACGTCCAAGAGTTAAAATCAGAGGTTTGTTCACTTTGTTGGACCTATTTCTAAAACTATTTACATGTACATGTACCTGTTATTGTGAATTAGTAATGGTAGGAAAATGCGACACTTGATAGGATTCCATATTCGTGTTCCATGCAAAGTACTTGTTTGTTGCAACATCATTTTACGGGTTGTATGTGAGTTTTGCTTGCTGGTATGTGCATACCCAAGTAAAAAATTACTTAGCAAAATTCAGGTTAAACTTTATAAAGTTTTTTATGTACAGGTGTACATGTACAATTGTATGTACCCTAGTGATACACTGATCTACAATTTTTTTTTTTAATCACTGATAAATCTAAGTGCTTTACAGATTACAGATATCATTATTATCCTAGTCATCGTATTCATTCATGCATATTGTGCACCATCTCTTTTACAGCTTGTGAAGTTTCTAAAAACAAGCTAGTATATACTTGTAAACGTGTACACTGTATCTTGAGTTTCTCTGCTTGTCCTTTAATCTATGCATCCGTACATATGAATCCTTCCTATTACCAGTAGAAATACAACAGAAATAATTTCATGTTTCACCATTTTGTTTTCACGTAAATGTGTTTCAAAATCAATTCACTTGTTTTTACTATGCATTTGCGCCAATGCGATTGTGACTCTTTGCCACGTGTTGTCTTTATTTTGTGTATACATAAAAATTGCAAAATTAGCCCCCCCCCCCCCCCCCATACATGTACATTGAGTACCGTTTATTTGCACCAGCAGAAATGTGACTCTGTTCCAGGTTTGTCATAATTTGGCATTTACGTAAACTTTCAAAATTGATCTATTCTCAACACAATTTTGTTTCTTCGTAAAAGTTTCAAAATTACTCTACTCATACATGATCTCCATCTAAAACTCAAGCATCCTCATTCTGTAAATTGACAAGGCAACGTCCTCCTCTTTCTCAGAATTCAAGAGCACTCATAAACTTGATCAAAATCAACAGCCTCTCCGTCACAAAAGCTGTTATGATATCTTGACAGAGAATTTCCACTAGACATGAGATCTCGTCTGCTGCCTGACGACCTTTCATAACAACACTGTTCATTTGCTGTGTTTGTTTTGTTTTTAATTGTTTTGATCATCAAGATTTCCCTTTTTAGTAAGTAATTTGCACTTGTCTTCTGTGAAGTAATTTTTTGATGAATGAACTCTTGATTTTAATGACATCAAGTGGTCCATGTGATTTCTGAAGTACTAGTATACAAATGATGTGCTGTTGAGAGTGTGTTAGGGCAGGATAGTGCACAGAGTTCAGTTGGTGCACATGATACAGATAATGCATGTGCCAGTAGGCAAGTGCAATGAAATCGATTAATTTTTTAAAGTAAAGTCTTGAATTGTATTAAAACCAGCATCCTCTGTCTTATATTGACATCACACATTAGTACATTATGTATAACTTTACACATAAAAAACCTCGGCCTTCTTTTTTTCCAACTTAATTACAGTCCAACCTGTCTATAGCGACCACCCAAGGGAAACACAAAAAGTGGTCTTTGTAGACAGGTTCCTTCAGTACATGTTTCAATGAGAAACAATTTTCAAGGGAAACGAAACATGTGGTCTTTGTAAGACAGGTGGTCACTTAAGCAGGTTTGACTGTAACTAACTTATTATTCACATATTTGAACTTTTTTCACTCTCTTAAAGTCAATTCCCATAAAATGAGGATCTCCAAAGGCTTATTTTTTGTCCCAAACTTTTATGGAAAAATACATATTATTATGTCCGGCAATAGTAACAACTAAATAGCACTGAAAAGGAAACATCACAAAGCGGAGCACTAATGACCTACATACATACACCAACGCAATTTTCTTAATTTTGAAATCTGCAAAACAAGTCTTTCAGTCATGACATAGTACCAGTGAAAGTGTTTTGGGATTTGATACAAGCACCATTGTAGAAAATGAGATAAATGCAACAGAAAAAATGACCTTATCATTGAGATACTTGAAGCTTGGGATTAAGTAGACGCGTAGATTAACGAGACGCGTATAATCCCGCCTTTCTGGTTTGAAGTGTACCAATCACCTGAAAATAAATTTGTTTACTGCTAGAATGTATCAAAACAACCCCCCCAAAAAAAAAAAAAAAAAAAAAAAACAACAACAACATGGTAGCCTTTTACATCAAGAGCAAAACATGCTTTGGTGATTGGTACACCATGTAATGAAAAAAAGGCTAAATATAATATTCTTGCTAAGAATTTTTGACTGAAGAAAACAATGAGGTAAGACAGTGATTTGATACTTAGAATTTTTAGGTTAAAAGACCTTGTTTGTAAAATGTTATCACTAAACAAGAACATTTAATTTTATGTGTGAATGCTCAACTATGGAAGCTGAGAGGACTTTCACTTTGAGGAGGTACGACTGCTCAGTGGTAGAGCAGTGGTCTAGTAACCGGGAGGTCCCGGGTTCAAAGCTAACTCAATTCGCTCGTGCCCTTTGGTGATGCATTAATTCTCATTATCAAGTCCCCCAGAGAGGAAAGCTGTTGGTACCTTGTACTGCTTTCAAACTGGCTTCTATCGGAGTCACACCGATGAAAATACAGATTGATTTTTCCTTATGTAAACAAAGGTGAAACCGAGGTTTTCCCTGCTGTCGCTTTCATACTGCCGGTGAAATTCACTTGCTGTGGCGAGCCCTTGCCGAAAGTGAAAAATTATTACATAATTATTAAGCCTGAGCCCCATCTAGCTGGCATGCAGCATGTTCAACAAAAAGTCAACAAACACAGCTGGTTACGATAAAGCGTGCGTACATAGCGTCATTAGACCATATTAATTGGTGCTTTAATCGCTATTTTCTCCCGAACGCATTCACAGTGGCTTTTTCATAGGTGTCACACGATAGAATGAGAATTTCTTCTGCTCTTGAGCAGGAGAATTTAATTGCCTATTTCTCTTCTTTTCGGCTATTTAATCGGCTTTTTTCTCCTCTGTAGCATTCATAGTGGCCGTTTCATCGGATGCGTCCGGATGCATCCAATGAAAATCAGGCCAGTTTGAAAGGGGTATTAGTTGCCTGCTTTAAAAATATAAGTGTACATGCTCTACTATATCAGTCAGGTAAAACAATCAAACAAACAATCATCCAAGCAGGGACGTGATAGAGAAGGACTGGAATCAAGCCGCTCTCCTTTGACCCCATGCTCCAAGCCGCCGAAAAGTTATGCGCTAATCTGCAACTGTTGACCAGGTGGTGAGATAAAAGAGCGCATGAAATTTCAGGAGTTAGAATTCCTACATCAGAAAATGGTATCACTGCAACTGTTCGCTGTCCCTTCCAATGATTTCTCATCCATTGTTGAATGTGTAAAGAGTAGAACAAGCGAACACAAACTTGTGTACATTCATCCTTTTTTAAACTTGAAAAATACAAAAAAACACGCGAAAACACGCATTAGCAAACTTAATGTTATTGAAGATTGTAAACCATGGATCAAATAACGGGACATTAAAGCATGCACAAATTAGCGCATCATCCTAAAATATTGAGTTTTTGACAGGATGTAATTTTTCTTTTACCAACTCTGGCACACAAATTAAAGGAAGGACGGAGTTTTAAATTTGAAAATTTGTTTGATGCACTATTCCCAATAAAATCCCCATATAAAGTTTTTGATTTACACTGAAATTTTACCGGTAATTTAATATTTTGTAATTAATGTAAAACTGGAGCCTGGCTTCCGAAAGTCCCCGCAGTGGAAGCGCGGTTCGGAGCATGGAACTTCAAAGCCAAGTGGAATGTTACATATCCCATTGTTACGCTTTAGAACTCAAGAATGCGTTTGAATAAATTACAAGAGTTTCGCCTCCTTTTCTTTCACCTCCCTGATCCAAGGAACAAATCTGGTAAGAGCCAACAACATCCTTCTGGCTTTCAGTAGTTGATTTCATGACATTTTGGAGATTAACTGTCCCCTTTCCCGAGGTAGCCAATTACAATTTAAATGTCATTAGGGACAATCAACCCATTATAGGGAGTAATTTCTATGGTTCCTTGGGGAGTCAGGCAGTCATACAGTATACACATACACTCGCTTTTATCCAGTCGCTGTATGAATGCTGTGGTGAATTCAGGGTTTTTCAAAAGAAGGGGCCCCAAAAATGTGTTTACCAGATTTTGGGATGCCATTTTACTTCAAGAATCTATTTCAAAATTCTTTAATTTATTTTATGTATTAATTCATTCATCCATTCATTTGTGTACACTGAAGCCCAATTTTGTGTCATACCCAATCGAATTGGATATCATGTATGTTAATTTTTCCCGGGTGGAAGCTTTTTATGCCTCCGCCACCGAAGGTGGTGCCGGAGGCATCATGTTTTCGGGTTGTCCGTCCGTACGTCCGTACGTCCGTCCCGCTTGACCGTTATCACAATATCTCAAGAACCATTTAAGATTTAAACTTAAGACTCGGGAATAGTATTTATCACCATAGGAAGACGATCTGATTAGATTTTGGAGTACGTAGGTCAAAGGTCACAGGTCACAGAGGTCAACTTATGAAATTCCTTGTATTGAGTTTGTTAGCGCGATATCTCAAGAACCATTTGAGATTTAAACTTAAAACTTAAGGATAGTATGTATCACCATAGGAAGACGATCTGATTAGATTTTGGAGCACGTATGTCAAAGGTCAAGGGTCACAGAGGTCAACTTATGAAATTCCATACATTGAGATTGTTATCATGATATCTCAAGAACCACTGGAGATTTAAACTTCAAACTTAGTGATAGTGTGTATCACTATAGGAAAACAATCTGATTACATTTTGGAGCACGTGGGTCAAAGGTCAAGGGTCATAGAGGTCAACTTATGAAATTCCATACATTGAGATTGTTATCATGATATCTCAAGAACCACTGGAGATGTAAAAACTTCAAACTTAAGGATAGTATGTATCACCATAGGAAGACAATCTGATTAGATTTTGGAGCACGTAGGTCAAAGGTCAAGGGTCACAGAGGTCAACTTATGAAATTCCATACAATGAGATTGTTATCATAATATCTCAAGAACCACTGGAGATTTAAACTTCAAACTTAATGATAGTGTGTATCACCATAGGAAGACAATCTGATTAGATTTTGGAGCACGTAGGTCAAAGGTCAAGGGTCACAGAGGTCAACTTATGAAATTCCATACATTGAGATCGTTATCGCGATATCTCAAGAACCACTGGAGAATTAAACTTCAAACTTAATGATAGTATGTATCACCATATCATAATATCTCAAGAACCACTGGAGATTTAAACTTCAAACTTAATGATAGTGTGTATCACCGTAGGAAGACAATCTGATTAGATTTTGGAGCACGTAGGTCAAAGGTCAAGGGTCACAGAGGTCAACTTATGAAATTCCATACATTGAGATTGTTATCATGATATCTCAAGAACCACTGGAGATTTAAACTCCAAACTTGTTTAAATTGCTCTATGGCGGAGGCATCATTTTCGACTGCGCGCAGTCAAAATTCCATCTAGTTTTTTTTTAATAGGCTAGTTTCCCCACAATGAATGAACATACATGCCATTAGATGGATCCTGACCCCCATATCCCTTTGAAAGGGGCGTAGCGGCAAATATTGTAAAAATTTGAATTATCACAACTTTCGTGCCGAAATTGTAAGGGCCGGGGTGGTTCAGCATTTTAGAGGAAATTTTTTTTTTAATAGGCTAGTTTCCCCACAATGAATGTACCTACATTCAATTAAATGGATTCTGACCCCCATATTCCTTTGAAAGGGGCGTAGTGGCAAATATTGTAAAAATTTGAATTATCACAACTTTCGGGCCGAAATTAGAAGTTCTGGGTGGTTCAGCATTTTGGGGGAAAATATTTTTTTTTTTTAATAGGTTAGGTTCCCCACAATGAATGTCTATACATGCCATTAGATGGATCCTCACCCCTATATCCCTTTGAAAGGGGCGTAGGGGCAAATAATGTGATAATTTGAATAAACACCAATTTCAGGCCAAAATGGTAAGGGTCGGGGTGGTTCAGCATTTTGGAGGAAAATATTATATTTTTTGAATAGGCTAGTTTCCCCACAATGAATGTCCATACATGCCATTAGATGGATCCTGACCCCATATCCCTTTGAAAGGGGCGTAGGGGCAAATATTGTAAAAATTTGAATTATCACAT